ATATCATAATCTCCTCTACAAAGCCATTTTACTTACTTTCCTGTCTATCCACTTCACCCAAACTAATTACACTCTTCCAGGCAAGGTCAGTCCTTAGCCACCCCATGATCTATCACAAAACCTACTCAAGAAGGCTAGTGGATAACTTTATAATGATTATTCTTCCAAACCAGACCTCAGGGCATCACAAACTGGGACTAGAGCTCTGTCTGCTTTAAAGACAAGAAACAAAAATTTCATCTTTCACTCAAGCAGCAATTCCATCTTACTGTGTTCCCAGGCACATCACTTTGTACCTTTTACTTGCCACCAGGAGGATTTGCCAAGTGTTTCTATTATTCACAAAACTGCTCTTTTACTTGACCACATCAATGCTTAGCTCCAGCTGTATTATGCCTCCAAAGACTGAGGTTTAGGGAGACGAGGGGGGACGCAGAGGCTCTGCAGCACGCACGCCGACCGTCCATCTGCCTATGCACCACGCACCAGCTCCACTGCGCCCCAACCTGCTGTTACAGTTAGCAGCAGACAGGCTGAGATCGCATAAAAGGACACGACGTTTTCTTTTCTGCAGGTACCTTAAGCTTTCAGCTCCCTATGAAGTCCTTCCATTTTCAAAATTTCTATCAGCCTACTACTCAAAATAATTCAATAAATAACCCAACCTTCTGCTTGCTTACGTGCCCATCCTAATAGCATCTGAATGTTCTAAATGAAGAACACTCATCCATGCTGCTGTAGAATTTTTCCTTTCAAAGTTCTCCAAACTCTTTATAAACATTGACTAATGAATCAGGCAATATTTACCCAGCTGCCTGGAAGACAGATACACCTTTTTTAACAGCCAAAGTAACAAGCAGCGAATCATTCGCAGAGCTAGGAACAGAAGTTGGAACTCTCAGCTCCTATTAACGTGGCATCTCCTCAAATACAAATCTCAAAACACTTGCTCATAAGACAACCGATCCATCTCTGGGACACTCTGAAGATTTACCAACCTGCAACGTTGTGCTCTACTCCCGCTACCAGTTAGCCTCAACTCAGGAACAAAGCACCAGGTATTACAGGAAGGAAATAAACATATAAAGGTTAGCAGAAAGTACTCTGTTCAAACCAACAGCAACAAAGAGTAGCCATGGCACAGAAGACCGCATTTTACTAGGCATTACTAATTCAATATTCTGTCATCTTTCACACCACTGTTCATTCAACATCAAACGCCTCAGCAAGGACTTCTAATTAAAGCACAGAAAGGCTAGAATAAAACATATTTTTGTCACATCATTTGTGGGTCCTTTATTCACAACTGAAATAGCTTCATGTTTAATTGTGTACCAAGCCACATACGCTATCTCAGCACACAGGAGCAAACAGTGACCACTTCAATGCTGCAAGCAATTCTCGTGCTGCCCCTTCATCTCTAGCACGAGGCGTCTATCTGCCTGCACAAACTGATTGAAATCTCCTGTGAGCGAGGACCTTATCTGCAACACTGCACGCAGAGGCGTCCCCGGGGGTGTTGCGCTCAGCATGGCCCTGCTCCAGCGTGGCACCTCACACAAGTGAGCCTAACCGCGCAGGAAAGGCAGGTACCCACCACCTCCCAGCCTTACGTCTCCTAAGTCCAGGCGCTCTGAGGGACCTCTGCTATCCTGCTGCAAAGTGACAAACTAAGCGGCAACCTCTTCTACTCCACATTAACAGCCTCAGCAAGAAACCAAGTATTTCCCCACGTTATGCTGAAAAACTAACCTCCCTGGTCTCCCTGAGACTGTTCAACCTGGAACTGAAAGCTCAAGTCTAACCTCTGTCTCGTACCACAGACCTAACAAAAGCCAAGGCCAAGGAGCGCGGTTTCCATCTCAGCCAGCAATTCAGGCCACAAACCTGCACGCTCCCCTCCGCTGTATAAAATACAGAACGTACTGCCGAGACTTAGCAATCCATGATTTCCATCAGTGAAAACGAGGGGAAGAAGGAATAACAAGAAACAAAAAAAGCACGGCCAATAAAGAAAAAGAGAAGAAAAAAGACTGCTGTCATCGCCACAGGGAAGCAGAGACACAAACCACAACTCTGCATGTATGCCAGCCTTGCCAATGCTTGGATCTGAAGGCAAAGAAGTCCGCTACAGTGGGATGTGAAGAGCAAAGCCAAAATTCCCTGCTAAATATTGCTGCCAAACAAGCCATTTCTTGTCAATATTTGTAAAACAAATTGAGCCTGTGCTGTAAATATCCCTGCATCTGTGCGCTGTTTGTTTCGACATGAAGACTTGCAAATAAGCTTCAGAGCGTACTTGTAGCGGGAGAATAGCTTGAGCAGCTCTGGTAGAACTCAGCTGTTCAGGCCCTACAACCGGCCCTTTGTGACCGGGGACAGACAGCACTACTGCAGCCTCTCTCATATTATCGCTGCAATGAGGTGGGCAGCAGTTTGCAGCCACATGTATACACACCAAAAAAAAAAAAAAAAAGCAATATGGAAAAAATCTCGCAAGGAAAAAACAAATTCTTTAAAAGTTACCTCAACAGCACAAGACTGATTTCAGAATGCTTTAAAAGTTTAACAAACAAGTCTTTTTAAACCACAAAATTTGGTTCAGGCTTAGACTATTTGTTTGGGTTTTGGGTTTGTTTGGGTTTTTTTTTGTTGTTTTTGTTTTTTTTTTTTTCATGGATCAAGACCTCCTTTGCCACAAGCCAGTCCTCCAGCTCGCCCTGCCCCATCAGGCAAGTTCACAAACTCTGTTATGACATCATGTTGCAGGAGGGAGGGATAGAAGAGACATCTCTGACAAACACCCAGCTACAGTTGGACAGATCATCTATTTTTCCCAGGTTCTTCCCAAACAAGTGATCTGAAAGGAAGCGCTGCTCAGCCCTCAAAGAGGATTACAGCTATTGCCACGTTACAGCACCCTGTCCACTGCCTGCCACTTAGCAAGTGGCAATCTGACTGTGATATTACTGGCACCAAAGCAAATTTTGGGAACCTACAAATCTATTCCCAGATCTCCCAACCTCTTACAGCATGACCTTCATCAGGCTGCTTCACTCTCTGGGAATAACTCACCCTTCACTATGAACAAGAAGCTTAACTTAAATATTTCCTCATCACAGTCAGAGGAAAGGCACTGCAAGTACCAAGCTTCCTATGAAATGTATTAAAGCACTACCTGGAGCAGACTAAAATACGTTTCTTGCAAGTAACTTCCATAACAAAGTTTGGTTTAGATTACAACAGTTGGAAAGGGAAAGCATATTAGGGTTTGATGAATTGAAGTTTATTTTACAGCAAAACCCAAACACATTTCCCTCCCCATCACCATCACTTACAAACTCAGAAGCAGAGACTTCTCCATTGAACTAAGTGCCAACTTCCCTGGATTTCAAATTGCAGTCCTAAACACTGAATCTTTTCTTGCCCAACCCAGAACTAAAATAAATCCTGGAGATGGTTATTGCTTAGTTGTATTATAGCAGCATTTTAAAGGGCCAGATGAACAGCCTCATCATTTATACACAGCCTCATCAGTTGTACACACATGCCACATGTACGCACACAGAGTAAGCAGTAAGTCTCTCAACACAGAGGCAGCCTAAAACAAGAGGGAAACAGAAGACGCAAAAAGGTGGTGACCACTCCACAGTCACAAACAAGGCCAATTAGAAACTAAAGCCAAGAAGCTGGCCCAGTATCCTATTTGCTAGCCATCACTACAGACAATCAAAAATTATTTATCAGTGCTTTCATTAGAAAAGGAAACTGGATTTCAAAGGTATGCCTGATCTCCACACAACCTTCCCCTCATCAGGGTCAATGCAATTTACTTGCTGGCTTTTCAGCGGGTAGGAAGTGGTACAGGTTTCACTGAGCTCTGAGGAGCAGCCCTGCTCTCTGACAGCGGGTGACATGGAACACTGTTCCCGTCAGTTGGGCAGAGATGAAAGCATCTGTGCGTTTGGACAAGCCCAGCAGAATGCAAACAGAAGGCAGAAGCAGAGGACTCCATGGGAGAGATGCCTGCCTGGTGGCAGGGGGAGAGCAAGACAGGTTAACCAACAACAAAAGCCCATTAACTTTGATTTACCAATGACTTATTCCGGGTCACTGCTTGATGGATGGAGGTTGGTTTCAAAAGCACATTTTTAAGGGAGCCACAAGATTTTCAGAGCTGACTTAGATTTGTGCACAGTGTACAATTTGTTCATACCATGGCAATCCACCCAAACACACAGGTAGGCAGTAAGCTGTTCCTCTGCAGTGCAGGAAGGGGAATTTGCCACCTGCAGGCAAAGCTCTCAAAGCAGCAGAGGCAGAAAGGCACTATGATACACAAGCTAAAACCACAGGCAACGTGTTATTGAGCAGAACCACAATGGAAGCTTTCACATCTGCAAACCAGAAAGTACACACCTGTTCATTCCTCCTCACACAAGCAACCACTTACAAAACCAAGTCTCCCTCCTTCACATTAAAAATTGCCATGAACTTATACAAACGCAGAGGAAGTTCCTTAAAAGCAAGCACATTTTATTGAGAAACACAAATGGGTGGATGCTTCAAAATCAAGCAAAGAGCCCTACTGTTTGTGCAACATTTGCTGTCGGAGCCGAACTGCATTGCCCTCCAGCTGAAGCACAACATGTGGGATTCCTCCTCCCCCAGCTTGTGGGAAAGCCCAAGCAGTCAGAGTTTCCATGCTACACGCCCCCCCCCCAAAAGGCGATGCTAGCTGGGGTCTCCAGCTTCAGGCTGAAAAACATGCTGTCAGAGAAGAAGTGACAACAGCCATAAGGAGAAACTGATTCCCCACCACTGATCCAAAGGAAGAGAGGATGGTAAGATGTAGGCTCCCTACAGCTAAAAAGAAACTGCACAGAATGATGTGGGTTCAGTTACAGGCAAAAAGTTTCAGAGCCATCAAAAAAGCTAAGTCAGCAATAAAAACCAAAAGGGGAGAGGGAAGAAAAGGAGAAAAAGAGCATGACACATACCCACAGTCTATCCAGCTTATAGTACCTCGTCCTTTCACCTCCTGGGCCACACTGGACAGTAACCTGAGTGAGCTTTCCGCAGCAGCAGCTGGAAAACAAAATAAAAGAATAATAAAAATAAAACAACAACGGCATTATTACTCCACATAGAAAAACACAATGGTGCATTCCTTTGTTCTGAAGCACCAAAAGAACATTTCTAATTTGAAAAAAACAGTATGACAGCGATCAGTAAAGTCTTCCGTAAACTAGAAGGAATGCTGGCTGCAGCTGAAGTTGGGTGGCTCATTCCCTCCACCCCCCTTAAACACCACACTGAAATTCATATCTCCAGGCACGCTCTCTGACCTACATTTACGGAACTATACTATGTCCCCTCCTGTAAACCACCTTCCATCCAACACTGCCTTTTTCCTGTTGCCGGGCATTAACCAATTTGTACCACTGCCTGCTAATTGGAGCAACTTCATTTAGGACCTTCATCAGTTGTAAGGGCAAGTCATTCTCATTCAGCATCTCTGCCTGCCTCAATTCTATCCCCGTCATACATAGAAAATAACACACTGTTGTTCTTGTAATAACCCTGGGAGATATCCAAACCAACAGTCGTGAGGAGCCCAAAACTATTAGCAGAAAGCACCAAGAAAAGGTCCTTCCAAGAACTGGCTGTATTATAAATACCCAACTGAGATTTTTTTATAATGCCATGCCACATGTGTATATTTTGCAAAACACTTCCATTCCAAAACAGTCTTATAAATGGTATTAAAAATAAACACCGAAGAAAAATGGGACAAGAGCTCGGGAGAGAAAAATAGAGAGGTTCAAACAAGTATCAATTCCCCAAAGAATCTAATAGAAACTTGTTTCCTGCCTTGATAAACAAAAAATAGAAACCCAGAGCTCTTCCAGATCTATTTAAGCTGCTGCTGCTCCACAACTACTTCAACTAATTGAATATAAGAACAGCTATATTGGGACGGACCAAATGCCTCTATAGACCAATATCTTGTCTCCAACATTTGAGATAGTGAAGGCTATTAGGAAGAAATTTTTTAGTTTGAAGGTTGTAAGGCACTGGAACAGGTTGCCCAGAGAGGTTGTTGAGGCCCCATCCCAGGAGGTGTTCAAGGCCAGGCTGGATGTGGCCTTGGGCAACCTGGTCTAGTGGGAGGTGTCCCTGTCTATGGCAGGGGGGTTGGAACTCCATGATCTTCAAGGTCCTTTCCAACTTAAACCATTCTATGATTCTATATAGGTCAGAGTAGACAAGTAGAGCTAGCGGGTAGTGATAGCCCTCACAATTTTTATCTCAACAATCTCCTGAGCCAGAAACAGCTTCTTTGTATTCGACAGCCTTTGCTTGGGCCTGATGCCATCAGAGACGCCAGCCCACACACGCTAGCTCTCAAGAAACTCTCCTACCCCCAACACTGATAACATGCAACTGCCACCTCCCTCCAACACAGGGACGTAGACACATGGGGGAATCTTTGCATGTACTTAGAGTGAAACAGTTTGACAAACACCCTTTAAAAATAAGCATTCAGGATAGGACAGACTTGTCCCAGAAGACTCACTAGTTGAGCAGCTCTGGCAGGATACCCAGCTAATAGGGTGAACTAAACATCTCCTGTAAATGAGGACATCTCCTGAAACCCACGAATTTTCTGCATGACAGAAATACTCATCTAGTTTTGCTCAGCTGAGAAGCAAAGCCTTTGTCCCAGCAGTACAATCAGATGCGGGCCAACATCTCATCACAGCTGAATGATGTATATCTGAGATTAGAATTGCACCTCCAAATTCCTGTATCTTTTTTCCCCTCCCCTCTTTCTGGGTGACAGTTAGGCAAGACATTTCTAATTGTGCAAGGATTGCTGTACTAGGAAGAAACATTAATCCCACAGTCAGCTCTGCATGCAATGCTTTAGACTGCTAAAACCAACCAATTAAATAACAAAACCAGAAAAAAACAGAAATTTCCACAACACAGCTTTTGAACAATGCCCATAGGGCAACATTTATTTGATGAGTGTCAGAGCTGAAGTGTTCTGGTTGTGCTTCTAAAAATGAAAGCAACCACCACTTAAAATATTAAGCGTAAAAAGAAAATTTTCCCTTTAAAAAGCTGAATAATACAGATGTCTTTTTTATCTAAAGTGTTCCTTTCAAAATCAAAAAGCGTTGGAAACTCTTTTATGACTTTCACTTTGAACCTGTTACTACAAAACCATTTGGCCGAGTTCGAGCGCTCAAAGTTCCTCACTATAGCAAAACACAAAATTTTTAACAAAAATTAAGGCACACATGTCATTTTAACTGTTTCAGAATAAGCATATCTTTAGCAAACAAAGTTAATTATCGCAGCACCTGCACATTTTTGTCTGCAAAATTCTCTCATACTGGGGGTGGAAGGAGGATATTGGGGCACTACATACTGCTTCAATGTGCCACACTATAAAGCCAGTGCAACTCTACATACGTCACTGCATTTAATTGAGATAAGACCTTTGTAGCAGGTCAGACAGGGAGGACCGAACCCCCAAATAAAGCCTTCTCTTGTATTGCTTGCCTGCAGGAAGTAAAAAGAAGCAACAACAAAAACAATATAGCACTAAGGAAAATCATCTTAGTGACACATTTTACATGTAGCTGTCCAGTGACTTCCACATCCACAACAGCAATCTGCACTTGCATATGGAGCTTAAAGGTTGTTCCTTCATTTTACACAATATCACACAAAACAAAACACCAAAACAAACAAGGCAACGAAGGAGAAAAATGTACAGCAGGAGCAGAACAGAGCAAAAGGAAGAGCAGACAGGTAAGGGTAAGAGTAAGAGTGAAGAGCCAGAAAAGAGAGCCTGAATGACAGAAGACTGCAAAGAGATTCAAGGGGACAGGTGGCTTGACGTGAAATGAGTCATTCCTCCCTCTTACACAAGCAGTTCATTTTTTATTTTTATATTTTGTTAATTAAAGTCGAAAGACAACCATGGCACACTCAAAGCTGTCAGAAGCAAAGATAGATTGATTTCAGTACTATAACTATTCATTAAGCCTTTCAGTGTCACCAGGAAATCGAAACTTGCAAACTACTGTGATAAACACACCAGAAAGCTCTGGCTGATAGCTATTACGAGCAGACAGTTTTGGAGACAAAGCCAGAATAAAGCACATTTTTGCCACTGTGACAGAGCAATTAGAAGACCAAATTAAGAAGATCCTAAACATCAGGAGCCCCTGAGTTAGAACAAAGGACACCAGTCCTGAAGAAGCCCTTGTAGTCACGTAGAAGCACCTCACAGTCACATAACACAACACTGAAGAGCGAGCAAGTAAGGGCAAAGAGCTTAGTCATCTGAACACACACACAAATGTTCAAATGCACACACCTTCTGGGCACAAAGAGCTATGACATCAAAAAAAAAAAAAAAAAAAAAAAAAAGAGGACTTACCAGATTTGGAATACAGCACTAGTACGTTATTCCGTGTCCTGAGAAGCTTCTTAAAATCCTTGTGGTCACTTATTTTTTCTATGAGTGGAGACACCTTCAACGAGTACACAAATGCCGGCAAGAACGCCTACAGAAACACAAAGCCAGAAACATTAGTAACAGCTTCCATGCTGAGAAATAAAATACAAACTGCTTTTGAAATGGCCTTGACTTTTTTCCATAATCTTGAGACACGCTGCCTTTAAACTATCATATTGATTTGATCAGCAAAATCAAAAAAAAAAAAGGAAAAAACAAAAAACCCAACCATACACATGACTTACTGAAACTAGACCAATACCACTCCCAGCAAGCATCCTTAAGTGGAAAGATGAGATAAACACATCAAGAAATATGGGTTTAGTTAAGAAGCCACCCCTTTAAAAGTTTGTTCCCTAGTCCGATAATCAGACAAAAATTCTTATGTAAATTTAATATACTGTAACAAGAGAAGCAGCAAATTACCACTTTGAGAGAACTCCTGTCCCTAGATCTCAGAATATGCTGCAAACTCAATTGAGTACTTTGATATCCCAAAGAAGACAGTGAGAACAATGAAGTTAAAATAACTAACCCATGCTGACACAGAGCAGATGAAGGAAATGAAAACTGAATTTGCAAGTATTCCAGCATCTGCATTACGGCACTGACCGCAACCCTCTCCTACTCACCCTTCCAAAGCGGAACAGGGCTTATGTTTCCCACTGGCCACAGCATACCACGCACACACCAGTGCCTTTGCCAGAAGATCAAGTTTGGCTTCCACTGGCCACGTAGAAGGCACAGCATTTAATCTCTCTGCATCTCAGTTCTGTATCTATGCAAAGAAATTATTTTTGTTGCGTCGTTTGGTTTATTTAAATCATGACAGCTCCAGAGCAGAGTTTGTCTTTTATCCTACTATAAAGTAAAACGCCTATCAAAATATGACCATAACCTTGGTTGGGGCCTCTACTGCTCATTTATACTGCAATAATCTTTAATAATAATAGTAATCTTATCCATCAGGCTATGTTGCCTCCCTTCTGCACTATACTGAATTCATACTAATGGAATGATTATGGGAAGCTTAGCTGGAGAAATTATCTAGTTTACATTCACCTTACAGTAAAACCTTAACACTTAATTGCTTGGCTAAAAGCTTTAGCTCATTTGCCTAACACACACAAGAGGTTCAACGTTTTCTTAATTACAGAACTAATTTTGATCATATCTCACTCCAACTGGGCTGGAAAATGTATCCAGGGTAGATGTGAAGAAGTAAGAGGCTGTTCTTCTTGCATCCCGTGTATTACAGATTGCAGCATTCAAAACACGGCACTAAGCCAATCAAAGTCGGAACACGCAGCCCCAGGCACTACATTTCACTACAAATTTAGCTATTTGCAAACACCACGTCACTGAGGCACAGAAACAAAACCTTGCACCTATGAAACATAGAAGTGCCAAAAATTTTGACATGTGGAAAGGGCAGGAGGAGTTTTGGGACGCATGAAAGGTAGAGAGAAGAAGCTGAGCTGAAACAGGAGTCATCCTCAAAACAACCCCAGGACATGTTCGGGAATTTAAAGTCACCACAATATATACCTATAAGATAAAAGCACGACAGGCTGCACATGCTTAAAGCAAGTAAGTTAGCCCGTTCTGCAGGCAGGATTCCCACCACCGAGCACTGCTCACCAGATGGTCTTAACTATGAGAAGGGAAAAAGCACACTTGCAAGTCAGCCCCTACCTTCAGCATAAATGCCCTTGATGCTTTAATTCGACCGACAGACTCGCATTCTTCTAAATCCAGATGTCCAGAGCTCAGCCTTCCTACTTCAGGCTGATGTATGTGAATCATTTGTGTATTTTCTCAGATAAATACATGGTGTTGCCAATCAAAGTAGACAAATATAGTTGTGCTAAGTGAGGTGACACAGACATGCAAATTCCTGCTCAAAACTCATCGCAATCAGAGGCTATACAGGAGGGATTAATCTAACATTGACTTACGAGCAGATCTCTTTAATCCTAAGTGTTTTTTTTAAAAAACTTTTCCCTTCACCTCAATTTTTTGTAACTATCCAAGTGTCATAAGGTTTTATTTATGCCTTGAGTTACAGAAGACTAAAATTAAACTTTACTGAACACAGAGTGAAAAAGTAAAACTACAGGTTGCTTCTTTGGTTTAGAAAACGGGACGCAATTAAGGATATTCTAGTGCATGAACTTGCTGCCAAAAAGAAATAATTGAACTAAAAAAAAGGCACAAAGGCCACTTTCAATGTGACACCAAATGGTATTATGAACTTTGTTTAAAGCATCTGTACAGTTTTACCAATAGCTCGGAAGTACATGTATTTCATGTCTTTTCCAGATGGAAAGGCTGTTTAGCCAATTTCAGTAACTTTTTTTTTTTTTTTCCGTTATAATGGCAGAGCTATAAACCTCTTGAAAAATTGGATCCTGGAAACAGTGACAGCTTTAACTACTGCCTTGTCCATGTTGCCACTAACAGAAAACTTGCTGTGCCGGTGGAATAGCAGGCGCTTGGAGGGAGAAGCACGTCGCATTGCATATATCCACTGCTACTTTGCCCAATTCCTCCCCAGGTATAAAATCAATACGTTACTCATTTTCCTGCAGTTTTATTACCGCGGCTCTCTCTGATCTTATGGTTTATACCAAAACCCACTGGGAAAGGCATTGCGCATACAAGCACACCAATCAGCCCTGCCGAATAAATCATCATCTCCCTTTAATTAAGATTAATGTTGCAGCCTTTGCTGCTTATAAAACGCAAAAGGTCCACGCTGAAGGCATGGAGTTGGAGAGAAACACCCTGCCTGCACATCTAAGGCAGCCGCAGCAACACTGGGAGGTTATCGGCTGAGCTGAACAGTTCACGACCTCCCAATAAGCATTTTCACTAAATCCTGTTTGCAAACTGGTAAGAATTAAGTAGTTCCATGGTGTCCAGCTTTCTCCTGGTGAAATTAACAAAGACCCTATCCAGGAACAAATGAGAGGCTGGGTTTCTGTCAAACGTCCTGAAGAACCTCTGCCTTCTCTACCAGTTCTGCTGAAGGTAAGCAACGCTGAGCAGTTCTTTTCACCTGATGCCAGTCCCAGCCACGGGGATGCTTTGCCCCGCTCCAGAGCCAACGCTGTGATGACTGTACCAGCAACTACAGCCTCAGCAGGGCTACAGCCGCTAGTTTTGGCAATGGCATGAAATTAAGAGGATGGGAAAAGAGAATCCTATGGAACCAGTTACACACTCCTCTTCCACAGAAAACCAGGCTCATATTCCTGCACAGCCCACAGGCAAAGCGGCAGCAAAGACAAGGCTCATTTGCATGTACTGTGCTATATGACTTTAATTGTGAGATATGAGTCAGGTAGATCTACTCTAGACATTGTGCTGAAATCTTTGCAGGAGAGCTCATCAGCCAGGCACTGCCCGATCTTGTTTAAATCCAGGGCACAAGAGGAGATGAGCTCACATTAAAAAAAGAAGAGGTCAAGAAAGGTGACAGTCCCTCCTGGGCAGGAAGCCTCTTTTCATATGCGTCAGGAAGTGCTACATTCACACATATGGAACTCTATAAATAAGAAACAAGCTAAACTCTCTTGTCACTTAAGCATTCTAAAGCTTTAAAATCTATTCACAACCACTTAGCTGAAAAGCTAAGAAACACTCCAAACACTTTTATCAAGAAGCTACCTACCTTGGTACCTGTTAAAGTACAAGGCATATTAGGACCAACACATGCAACATCTGTGCCACCCCTGCCCTGGGACAGTTATTCTAACAAGAAATTGCAATAAAACTGAGGGAAGGTCTATTTTATTTCACGCTGTGTTTGCACAGTGCCTAGCACAACGGGTCCTCATCCACGGCTGGCTCAGTGAGCTGGAACCAGCACAACAGTCACCTGGTGTTCTCAGGTGCAGGAGACTTTGGTGGAGACCTTCAGAAAAAGACAGGCTACACGCGGCAGACTATGAAATGCAAATCTGGTAGCGCTTCTAGTCTGCAGATTTTCCCCAGCTCCAGATCTCTACCTGAATTTACTTTCACAGAATTTTTTATGGCGCAGGTTGCACATCACTCGTGATTGTAGTGTCTGATCTAAGATGCACGAAGAATTCTGAAGTAAAACATAAGTGAACCCAAACCCTCAAGACAGTCAACTCAAAACTGCTGAGAGACGCTGCTATTTGAGTACAAGGTACAGAAACACACGTGCTTTAGCTCTGCCTCTGCTCTTCAAATCAAAGTATGTATTTAAATATATAATCTTGCAAGCTAGGTGGAAGAAGTCTGATCAGTCAAAAAGGTTTAATTTTCCATTTTTCCCCACTCTCCAGCAATTCCTTGCAGAGCTGCCGAAGATACACAAGTGTTACGGAGCAGCAAAGCACTTCACAACCCCACTCCCTTAGAATCAAGAACACAAGAAACAGCTGAGTTTTCAGAAACCCAGAGGCAAAGAGACTTACAGGCAAATAACTATTTGCTAATTATACTTCCAGGACTGACACTATTGAAAAACGTGGTCATCCCTCAGGCCATGTTTTCTCAAAATCATCAAGGATCTGAGAAAGCAGAATTTACTTCTCAAGTTTTTACTCGCCATGTTTTCTCAAAATCATCAAGGATCTGAGAAAGCCGAGTTTATTTCGCAAGTTTTTACTCTTCTCTGAATCTCATTTTAGAATGGAAAAAAAAGGGAATATCTTTCAAGCAGCCACAAAAATGTATTTTCATATTTTACATTTATTATTCAAATTAAATGTGATAAATGCTTAACTGCTGTTCCCACAGAACCCAGTTCAATTTATGAGTTGCACCCCACAAAAGCTTCATGACAGCATGGTCTCTTGCTAAGGATAAGGAGAATGTCTGAGAATAATTTTTTATTCATTTATTTTAAATCAAGGGCAATGAAAACACATGGTTTTAAAAACAAGAAAATACAAATCAAAATTAAATAAGGAGGCACTACCAGAGGAGTAGCATTGTACACTGGACATGAAAACTATTTTCAGCTCAAGAGCATGAAAAAATATATTTCCCTGGACACAAATTATGCATTAAAAAATATAAATGGATATGCAGCTGAAACAGTGCTTAGGTGCCTGAATCCATATGTCAACATACAATTTTTATGCGCACACTAACACTTACATGTATAATTAGGCAGACAATTTGCATGCTATTCATCAAGAATAGCTGGGGCTGACACTAACAACGCTGATTCCGGCACAACTGCTGCTTGGCAGGGACGCAATCTTACACTCAACCACAATTCCAAAAGCCCATTTTTCAGCAAGACATTGACTTTGATTTCTGTCTTAGCTTAACCGCCCACTGATGTCATTCTCAGTTTGGGACAACAGCATTCAACCCATTGTAAATATGATCAATGAGCGACCCTGTACATATGAAATAGATTGTGTCTGACAAGGCATTTTATGGGAATCTAACTGAAGAGCAAACCTGCTTCAAAATTCCACGCAGTAATGGAGATGACTGAATTTCATTTCATAATTAATTTATTTAGGAAGGGACTAGTTCACATTCTAAACAAGGGTCTCCTCTGCTACTTTAAAATGGGGGGAGGGGGGCAGGCAAGAAATCCCAAGAACTAGACTGGATCTCACCCTCCCTTTCCCACTCAGTTCCCAGAATGAACCCTGTGGTGGAGCACACGCTTAACTTCAGAAGGTGGATTTGAAAGAACATCTCTGTACTACAGTGATGGAGGTTTATAAACCTTTAGATCAGCCGGTGCGACGGCCAGGTCCTGGGGTGCAGGCAGTGCGCACGTACTGAATATACCAGGTTTAAGTCATCTCCAGGAAGACACAAAAGAGAAACAGATCTGTTGCTCCCCTCCCCCCTATTTGCTCTCACTTAAAAATACAAGATGTTCAAATCCAAAGCCCCCTTGTTTACAAGAATCACAGTTTGACTGCAGATGTTTTATCTTCCTTGTTCATCATACAAACCACTCTTGACCTTGTGCAATAATTGCTTGCTTTTCAATCACAAGCCCTCCCTCTGCTGCTATTTACATTCAGGGTTGTGCTGCTTTGATCACTGAGCCATTTGTAACAAATGCCTTCGAAGATGGATAGTGATAAGTAGGACAGTCCCCTGTTTTCATTCATGATTAATATCCAAAATAGCTGTAGAAATGTTTTAATCAAATCAGATGAGGGGAGACGGGTGATCTCTGTTACCCAAAGGTATCTCAAGGAAGCCTTCTGAGACTTCATTACTTGAACGAGGGGGAAAGAGAAAAGGTAGCACTTGGGTCTCAACCTTCAGGGGTCACAGCTGAAGCAGCCCCTGCAGTCCCACTGGGACCGCAACACGACCTTCTCCCAACCACATCTGCAGTGGTTCCCAAGCTGCAACCTGCTGAGGGCCCCCAGCGCAGAGGCTGCAGCACGTTACCTGCAACCAACCTGAAAAGCCACCTGCGGGCCCAGCGGGGAATGGTGACTCCCGCACCTAGAGCGGCACGGGATGGCCAGGTGAGGAGCGCTCCAGCAGACACGCCGGAATATCAACAACTTCTGCATTGGAAGACTGACAGCATTAGAAAACCATGGTTTTGCCCGTCAGGTTTACGTTTGCAGACACTCCCATTGGACACTTCTTGTTCATTTCCCATGAGCTCCATGGAAGAAAGCATTCTTACTCTGCATATAAGCCAGATCAATTAACTCTCACCTCAAGCCATTCAAGGAATAAAAAACCCCAAGCTCTGCTGACATTTTATTGTGGTGGGTCATATCTGCAAGAGGCAAGTGTCACATCTTCTTTTGTTCATGAAGGAAGGCAAATTAAAATCCTGAGAGAATGTCACGGTATTCTTTAACTTAGGCTGAAGAATGCTACAAATAAGGCATTCCACTTAACATGGTGCTTGCTATGCTCACTTTCCAAATATAGAAGATAGGAAAAAATACCATGGAGACGTCAAGATTTGACTAGACTCTACTGTTCATACTGTTCTTAAACACTGGGTTTTAAGGAACATAAGCTACAGGCATAATAGCCTATACTAAAGGTTGTTCTTAAGGGCTCTGTGTAGCCAATTAATTGTATGGTTTATCACTGGTTTTCAAATGCTTAGTGAAGGAAAACCTGTGCAACTATTTACTAATTAACAGCTGACTGTAATAGGGTCAATTACTAATGCTGACAAAGAACTTTCTTCTTATTATGAATGTGAAGTTCACTCTCTCTTCAAGCCGGGCATTGGTGCAATATATATTAAACAAGCTGTTGATGAAATAATGTTTCAGATACCACTTTTGAATGAGCAAAGTTGGATGACTTCAGAAGCTAAGGGCATGAGCAAAGCATATGCCACATAATCCCCCACTAAAAACTGGGTTTTGAAGAAGTTTAAAGTATCACCTACTCAAGAAGCACATAGCAGATGCTATAAAAAGAAGACAAAACTACTATTAATGGGACTTAAAAAGAAGAGAGGGTGAAAAATGCCACCTGAAAATCCTTAGCACTTTATGCAGCACTTGTTATCTTCAAAGCATTGCACAAATATTAACTAATTAATCCTCACATTTTTCTGCCAGGTGATAGGAGACGAAGCTTAATTTAAACAGTTGGAGTAAGATTCATACAGAAAGGAAGCAGTCTGCAAGAGGCAAAAGGGAGGCAGCATCAGAGCAAGTCGGCACACAGCTGATCCTAGAGCAGCACAACCCCACGCTCATGGTGTGCCATCTCCTGAAAGGTGAGGAGGGGGAGAGAAAGAGTCTATTTGCAGTCACCCAACAAATTTGCTATATGACTATAAACCCAAAGATAACAGACAGGACATCATCCAGGCAGCCACAAGTGACATTACCTTTGTTATCTGTGTTCTACAAGCACACAGATCACAGCGCCCTCCACCAATGCTACCGGCTACTCTCAGCTAGCAAAGTGCCAAAACTTAAGACCTGCTTTGCTATCACAATTTTTTTGCCATTCACAAGCTCAAAATGGTGGCAGGATCAAGGTAAATCATAATGTACTTCCAAAGGGACCCTGTCCACATCAAGAAATTGAAGGTAACGTTAGTTTGTGATTCTAGTTGCAAATTGCATTGAGTTTTTCCATTCACAGGCCTCCAAACACAACTCTGAAGAAAGGTGAGTCTCATTACCTCCATTTTACAGAAATGAAGGAACTCAAGGCACTGCATCACCAAAAAGCAAAAGAAATGGTCAACAACACAACAAGTACCTCTTCCATCACCAATTGCTCACGACGTTGCAAACACAGCCCTGGGCAGGAACACCACTTCTGATGACCACACCACACTCGTGGCAACATCCCAGGCCCTCTGAAGTGAACAGGAGCTCTGGCACCAAAGCCAATGGATTCAAAACATCACTCCATAAGGTACGGCATTGAGTAACAAAACCAGTCCTGAAAGCTAAGGTTTGATTTGAAAAAGGCATCTGAGGTGACAGAATGTAGCCCACATCATAAATTTTACAAATCCGTACTTTGAAGAGGGAACAGATACGAAGTAGGAATGGGGCAGGGGGACAGCAAGTAAGGGATTTGCCTCTGCAATACCCTCCCTCTGACTGCACCAAAACACTTCCCAAAGCAGCTCCTGTAGTACAAACAGTAACTGGAAGGGAAGAGTCACTCCTGAATTCAAGCCCAAATGCCACCGTGGGAAACACTATCTGAGCACTGCTGAGGAGGAGCAGCACTTGCATCCTGCCTGCAAACTCACCGGAGGCAAAGCCACTGCTGCGTGCTGCAGGGCTACCTGCAATACAAAGAGTGAGCCACGTCTGAGTCCTCCCCACAGGTCTGGATTCACAAGCCCATGTCAGTGCTTACCGGTGCATTCCCGTGACGTTACTGGGACCTGAGGAGCTGGAAGCCTGAAATGTTCCTTTCAAACATTTCTTTGAAGGCACTGGGTTTGAATGGCACCAGGTCAAGGAGCCTGCTTCTCAATGGCTGTGAGTGGGTCAGGCTCTCTTGACTCAGTTTCTCTGTCATTAAGCCAACGCTCAGAAGACAAACTGATCTTTGCCACATTTACCTGAGATAACATTCCTTGGTGTTTGCAAAGCAAACAGATCTCAGATGCGCAATCCTGTTGGAAGCAGTAGCTGGCCTCTGCCAGGCAAAGGACAGCGCCCAATATATCAGAGGAAATGCAAATCAACCTCGGTGTGAAACTCCTTCCCAATGCCTTTAACAGTAAACTGGGTCCTTCAAGCGTGAAATAGTCAACCACTTGACATACCGAATAGGGACTTATCTCTAAAGTTAAACCACAACTTCCCTGTGACTCTACGACTCATTCAAGAAATAAAACTTTACAGAAGGTGCAGATCACTGCAGTATCTTCATCACGTGTGTGTCACATATTCACATGATACAGATGATAACAACTTAACATCTTCCATTAGAAGATACTGAAGCGTTTTCTTCATCCAGCTTTGTAGTTTTCCTTTTACAAATGCAGGAAGTCTTACAGAGATAAGGATTTCAATTCTCGGAAGCCACCTCCAATACTGGATCCTACTTTAAAATGAGCCCTATTTTTCAGGAGCACTATACATGCGTGACTCTAGCTGCTGT